GGAAGTCTGGAATTTAAATCCATAAACCACTGGTAGCCTTAGGCTGCTACAGAAGAGAAATCAGGTTTAAAATTGGCTGCTTGTTCTAAGCAACCAAAAAGTAAAGGTTTTTTTTCAGGACAAGAGTATCAATTTGAGTCGTCAGCAAATAGAACCATTTTAGATTTCATGAAGATTGTTATTGTAGATAAGAAACAATACAGGAGCAAAGATAGAACTTTGTGGTGTCGGTAAAGCTATTTGAAATAAAGAAGAGGGTAGGTCTTCAAGAATAACTTTACAAAAATAACTTTACTAATGCAGTTAGAAAGAAATAATTTAATAACCTCAAAACCATTATATAAAGAAACTAATCACTTTGTAAAGACTTGTAGGTAGTAAGAGAGTATTGTAGGTAGTAAGAGAGGTCAAAGTGTTTTCTAGAGTTTTGAAAAATTGGAACCACTTTAAAAAATGTGGAAAATTTAGCACCCAAAAAAACTTGGCAAAATTTGAAGAGAGTTCTGGAGAATGTTTTTAAAAGTATGATGCAAATCTATTCTGGACTAAATGAAGAGAAGTAATAAAAGCTTCCAAACCTTAATTCCAGAAGGAATATAAGCTTTCAAGATGCACTTTATGCATATATGTTGTGGATATAAACAAATATGTTTATATAGTGTTTATATAGTATAGTCGTTTCCAAAAGAGATGATGATCAGATGGATGCGTGGTGTGACTCTTGCAAGACAAGAAAAGGAGGCATAATCTTAGATAGATTAGAAAAAACATTGGTTAGAAAAGAATAAAATAATTCAGGTATCTGCATGTAGAGAGGCAGCTGCTTCAATAGAAAATAGTAGTGGTAGAAGAAAACTTGAAGAGAATGCCTTACCTATTGTATGAATGAGCTTTAGTTAAGAAAAAAAAAATGCTCTAGATTGTTTATATTAGAGAAACAGCATAAAAGAGGAAGGCTAAAGCCTGATGATGATTATTAATAATAATGATGATATTGATGATGATTATCATCATGATCATAATGATCATCATTATTTCAGGAGTTTTATTACACCATTGTGTTGACTTTCCCCAGATGAAAAGGTTAATGACATAACTCCAAGAAGATGGGACTCACTATCGATAGTTGCCAGAACAGCAAGTCTATCATGATTTAATTTTTTTCTATTATTAATTTCATAAAGTGTCTTTCCGTAAAAATGTATAATGCATGGGAGAAGCTTGGATGCTAAAATCAACATCTTTTTTAGCAATAATTGCCATTTCATGAGATGTTTGTTGCATCTTTCTAAAAGCTGTTGACCTTCTGCAATTTCATTTGTAAGATCAACCCCAAAACTATCAAGGATTGCAGTAGTAATTTTTGTCAAAACGTTAGGAGATATATCAGTAATTGTGGCAATTAGAGCAGTGTTACCAGAAATAATATCTTTTGGGATCTCAGGTTTTATTCGACTACTTGACTCTATAAAACTCTAATATCCTGGGTCAAAATCCAAATCAAGAGATAAATCATTGCTGGTGTCCATACTAAATTCCAAATCTGAACTTACTTCTACTGATTTAGCAGCATTTTTTATAGATGGATTTCTCTTTCTTGTATTCTCCAAAATCTAAACAAAATGCATTATAAAATAAAAATTAATGAACCCAAAATAAAAACCAATAAAAAATTTATTAAAAAGCATTTACTGATTTAAAGCGTTGTGTTGTAAAATATCTATTCCAGCCGGCACACTATGTGTTGCTCAAATAGTAAATGAGGAAATAGGCTTATAAATAAAGAGAAATTCGACATATTGAACTGATTTTTTTACAAGACATCAGGTTTTTGTTTCTGTTCATCCGGACTTTAGACTAATCTGGAAAACTACATTAATCCAGATAATTCTTTTAAAAATCGAAAGCGTGGATATTTAGAATTTTGCGAATTATATTAGAAACACGATTAATAATAAACAATGTCGTGGAATATAACAAATTGACTATGATCTGATTCTTTGCTCTTTGGTTATTTAAAAGTTACTTAACAATCTATTCTAATAGATGTTTTTAATTACTTGTGGCTATTAAAATAGCCGTATTTTATAACTCATTATAGAACAGCACATCAGTTCTTCAATTAGTTCATGCTCCTTCCTTTATACTTTCTAGAATAGTTAATCACTTGTTAAAATTTCTTAAACTTGTTTTTAAAAACTAAACAAAAAAACTTAACTTAGGATTGTTATTATAAAAAAAAATTAAAAGATTGCCTAACTAACCAGAAAATAAATAAATTAATTAAAATTAATAAAAACTGTTACCAATATTACTAATAAAGTTATTTATTTTAAACAATTATCAGAACAACTGCCACTTTGCTTTCTTAAACAATTTTGCTGTTACTCATTTTTTATTCATTTTGTTTGTTTTTTTTTGCAATAGAGGTATATATCAGATGTCATAAACAAAAAATTAGCTGTATCTCTAGTGTTTTCTGCAGAAGAGGTTAGACGAACTTGACCAATTTGTGCAGTTTTGTTTTCGTTATTTTTGGCTTCAATAGCACTCTCAGACAAAGAACCTTTTGGATACTTAAAATACATTATAAAAGAAATACCATGAAGTATCATTCTATGCACAGATTGTGACATAAGTATAGTTTTGAAAATTGTATCATTAGTTATGAGCGCAAATAGATGCTCAGATTTCTGTTTAAAAGTCTTTATATCTGGTCTTGTCATTGGGCTATTCATATCAATGAGCAAATTTCGAAACAACTTAATCATTCTGATATCTAAATTTAAAATTCTCCCAGACACTATCGGATTATTAAAAAATTTGCAAGCAACATTTCTAGTATTGGTTGTGCCACTTCCTTTTCTGACAAAAGGAACCCTTATTTTCAATTGTATCTTGAATAAATGTTGGAATTTTTTTTTGTTTTCAATAAATTCTATACTCTTTTGTGATGGAATATTTCTTCCTTGTTTTACTGCTGGGAGTTTTCAAGCATTATTAAAAACCCACTCTGTGTAGCATATCCATAAATGAAGACTGCAAATTCCAAGTTTCAAAACTTGCTTCCCTAAATTTTTATTTTATTTTTTAAATAATTTTTAAATTAAACTCCTTAGAATTTGACAAACATGGCAGGACTGAGATGAAATTCTTTTCTTAAGCATATTGGATACATATTTAATAAGCATATTTTCTTAAGCATTGTTTTGCCATCATTCATTGTGGTGTAAATAGTTGACAAACTAGACTTTATTACCAAAATATTTTCATCTAGTTAAAATTCAATATTAGTTAATAAATAAATTTCATTTTTTAAATGTTCAAATTTTTCCTGAATAAAATCAGCAGTCTCTTTTGCAAAAGAAAAAAGATGACGGGTGGCATTACTGCAGTTTCATTATATTCAATATGTTCTGGATATGTCAATTTTTTGTATTATTTCAACTTAGTTAAACTTGGAGGTTTAACTATTTTGAAACAATATAATTCAAACATGACGATTATGAGTCACTATACTTTTAAATTTAGTTTTTTATTTTCTGTCTGTAAGTTTTTTATTTTATTTTCTATCTGTAAGTTTTAAATTACAAAGAACTTGCAATGATAAATTTTAACCATATAAATTAGTCCAATCATCAGTATAAAGATTAGATTTAAATCTTTTGGCATGTTCTTCTACTTCTCGTTCTCTAAGACTATCTGTTCTTTTACGCTTCATCCATCGCTTCATCAGACTATCTGTTCTTTTACGCTTCATCCATCGCTTGATTCAATCATCATCGTTTGTAAGCTTTATAAAAAACTGTCTAGGTTTTAGTGTGCAAGATATATTTATTGCTGGTGATCTAGATGCTTTCCAGGGTACACTATAAATAAAAAAATACATTGAAACATAGATACAGCACTTACTAAACTGTCAAAATGACAGTTTTGTAAAATAATGTATAAAAAATTTTGTGTGTATATATATATATATATATATATATATATATATATATATATATGTAATATCCATAACTTATTTAATAATAACAAATTAATATAGAACATATTATACTCACAAGAGATATTTGCATTGTTAAATTTGAACTAAAAAATTTTTGTATTAAATTAAATGCTAGACTTTTAAAAACTTTGAAATTCACTGTGCAACCAGCGTAAAGAGATAAAACCTTGGAATGCAAAAAAATGGCACATGCAGAAATATTTTTACTTGTAAAAATATGCCTAGGAGGAAAATCATCAGCCAAAAGTTTGCTAAGATTGAAAGTAACAATATTAAAACAATTTTCAAACCACGCTTAAAAAAATCTTCAAACTTAGTAGTTTTAACTCTGAAGTTAAGACTAAGAACAAATGTACCATCCACAATCCAGTATTGTTTTTCATACTTGACAAAAACTGTAATTTAATATTTCGGTTTTCAATAAAATTCACATTTGAATTGATTTTATAACATGTTACTACAGAGGTAACAGTAAATTTTTTAATTTAAAACTTAATTTGTTTCAGAAAATTTATATAAAATAAAAAACTGGCTACTTCTATAGTAACATGGTCAAATCAATCAGACTTTAAGGACACACAAAAGCAATGAACCACACATTTTTTTTCTTTTCTTTGTTTTTAATTTACAAAATGTATTATTTATTAAATAATATGCAAAAATAGTTAAGAAATTTAAAAATTATCATATGTAATAAAATGATTTAGTGAAACCTGTTTTTTTTTTACCCATGAAAATCCCGCACTTAAAAAAAACAAATTTTTCTAAACTTTTTTTTTTTTAATTTTTATTTGTTTAAATTTTTGTATTTTTATATTCAATTTTGAGACAAATAAAACTTTTTTTTTTTTTTTTTTAATGATTATGATGACGATGATGATGATGATGATGATGATGATGATGATGATGATGATGATGATGATGATGATGATGATGATGACGATAATGATGGTGATGATGATGATGATGATGATGAATTATTTATATTTAGATACATCAGAGGTGTGCACAGCACTGAAAAAATATTATCGTGAAAATTATAGAAAAATAAATGAAATTCAACCACCATTAAAAGTACCTGCAAGTGTTGATCTAATGAATAACTTTGTTGATCTATGTATCGTTGATGCAGTTAATACTCAAATGGATGTTGTTTTTAATTTTGAGCGAAAAAATTTTCTTGAAAAGCAAATGAACTATACACCTATTTCATATAGTGAAATTTTTATGAAAGAAAAATCTGTAATATTAATATCTGGAATAGCTGGTATAGGAAAAACATGGTTGCTTCGAAAATGTTTGCTAGATTGGTCAAACAATTTAATTTGGAAAAATGTTGAACTTGTATTTTATTTGGAATGCAGAAAGCTTAATCAATATCAAAATATTTCTAATATTAATGAATTACTAAATGTTTTCTACAAAAATATTATAAATGATTTTGATATTAGTACTCATTCTACGCTGTTTATAATTGATGGATTAGATGAGTTTAAATATTTACATGAACTAATAAATTGCAGTTTAAGTTGTAACTATCCAATTGTTAATGTTTTAACAGAAATTCAAAAATATAAATATGTAGTTGCTGGTAGAGTTTATGCAATTGATCAGTATCAAAGTATATCTACAGAGGATTGTGATAAGATAAACATTCAAATTATGGGATTTAATGAAGATGGAATAAATAATTATATAAAAAATAATGTTTTAGAGGAAAAAAAAGATGTTGTAAAAGCAAATTTGAAGGAATCTGCAATTGCAAAATCAATGTCATCTGTTCCATTTTATTTATCTTTTATGTGTAAGATTATTAGTATTTCAAAAAATTTATACAAAAATACTTTTTTAACAATGACAGACTTGTATGCAAATATTTTTTTACACTTTTTGCAAAAACACATTATCAAAAATAATGAATCGATTTCTCAATTCATGGAAAACAATTTCAATAAAAAATATGTTTTAAACATTTGTAAAATTGCGTATCAATTGTTTGTTGAAAATAAAGTAATTTTTTCCAAAGAAGACATTCAAACTTTCATCATTGACTTTGATAAAAATGAAGAAACTTTTTTTGGATTTATTGAAAGGATTGAAACAAGTCTAGGTGAATATATTTATCAATTTGCACATTTGACAATAATGGAGTTTTGTGCATCTATATATGCATTAAATTGTTTAAGTAGTGAAGAGATTGTGACCAATGAAAAGCTGAAGAGTTGTTTATCAATGATTTGTGGTTTAACCAATAAAAATCAAAATAGTTCCTTAAAGTTTCTTGTTAACCTGAATCCTTTAAAAAAAACTTGTGAAGATTCTTTATTTTTGTTTTCTATTTTTGGTAAGTCTATAATACTTTATTGCATTATTGTAAATTATTTTTTATAAAATCTATTTATCAAAAGTGCAAGTTTATTAAAATCAAAAGTTTATAAACATTAAAGTTTTTTAAAGCTGTTTTTATCATTCCTTCTTTAAAGGATAGACTCTATTTTTTTGTATTTAGTATGTTTGACAATATTTGGCAAGATTTTAAGAGAAAATTAAAATAAATAATATTTTATAAGAAAATATAACAAATATACATATCAGTTTTGATTACAAGTGAATTCATCTGTGTTAGCCATTACACATCTAATACAGTAAGAGAGATAATTATCTGAACAAAATTAAAAAAAAAAACAAGTAAACTTTGACAACTAATTTCAGAAGAAAAATGAGTTAAAATAAATAAAAGATTTATGATTGTTATAAATTAATCATGTTTTTTTTTAAATAAATGCCAGTTTAATCAAGAATTCATAACTTAAAAATTAAAATATTTCACAACTTAAAAATTAAAATAGTTACATTTATGTGCTAAAAACTTAATGATGCATTTAAATTATGCATTTTTTTTAACTTTAAATAAGTGTCCAAACCAAATTTTATTTATTAAACATTTCTTAAGTAATTAAATTTTTTGACTTTTTAATATTGAGTCAGACCATCTTTAGCGTTTAAGACTTCTGCTAGTCGATTTTGCATTGGTTCAACTAATTTCTTTGTCATATCTGGATTGATTCAAGTCCAAGCTATTAGGAACACGATTATTTTCTCTTTGTTTTGTTTTGAAATTGCTACTTTTTTGATCCAGAATTGTCCATTGAATTGCTCGTTCAATTGCAATAAAATCTGGACTTTGAGTCGGCTAATCAAGTATAAAAAACACTAATTAAGTTGGCTAATCAAGTATAAAAAACACTTTTACTTTCTTTAACGTATGCTTAGTGTTGTTGTCTTGTCTATGCAAATTCAAACATTTTTTTACTTTTTTATCAGATTACTGATGGTTCCTTATGCTGTTTCAGTTGCTTTTTTTCATCAACCTAAATGTTTTACCTTGTCATTTAAAACATTGATTAAATTTGCTTTCAGAACATAACATTTATCAAAATTATTTTTTTATCTTCTGAGAAATTAAAGTTTATCTTCATAATAAAATTTTCTGTTAGGATATTTGTTTCTTTTAAATATTGGGTCAAGTAAAATGGACACTTTTTATGTCTTAAATTAAAAAATATTGGAACAAGCTACAAAGTTGATTTTTTTTTTAATTGAATGCTTATTAAGTCTAGAACAAAAATACATAAATAGAAAAAAATATTTCAGTACAATAATTTTTTAACTTTTTATAATCGATTTGAGAGGCTAATTAGGAAATTTTAATTAAGCATGCAAAATTGTATCACGCACTTGTTGCTGTTTTGTTGCCATTTTAAATAGTAATATAAAAAAATATAAAAAATATTTTCTTAGTATGGAGTATAAAGGAAAGCATGAATGATGCGTTTTCATATTTCATGAATAAAACATTGCTTTTCATCATAACATGGAACAGTTTTAAGTTAATTATTTTATTATTTCTAATGATTGTTTAATTAAACTCACTTAATTTATATTATAAAAGTGCATTATACATATTATTTTTATTTATATTATCAAATATAAATCATTGATTTGAAATATTTAGAGTTGTGTAGTAGAGTGCCAAGCCTTGTGGTACTCCAAATAACTTGCTAGTCAGATTAAAAAAGTGACATGATTTGACTTGCTTCTAAGCCTAATGGCTACGATCAAGTGAAGTATCTGCTTTTATTTGAGTTCTTACATCATTTTGATTGGTTATGATCTGCTGTAACATGGTATTTAGACTTGGATTCATTTCAATTAGTCACATCTAAAGACTGTGAAAAAATGACTTCATTGAGCCTAAACTTTGATTTTATGACATGATTTAACAAAAGAAAATTTGTATTTAGTGAGAAAATACAAAAAAAGTTTAATTTTTTCATTTATATTGTCTGATAATAAACAACAATTACATATTAAGTAGATAAATACAGTAAAAAATCATTTGAAATAAGCTTCAGAAATAAATAGTTTACTAGATTTGGAAGTTTATTTTTTGATTTGTTGTCTATGAATTATCAACACTGTTTTTATAAAATTTAATAATAAACCACTAAAGTAATAGTGACTAGCATTGTTATTTATAATTTTTTAAAGTAAACAAGAATAATGTAACAACATGCATATGATTGTATATAAATGCGTTAAATGTGGTAATAAGATACATAAAAAAAAACAGGATAAAGAAAATTATTTATAAAGGATTTTATTTTTTGTTCATAAATACTAAAAATGGCAATCCTTTATATAGAGTGCTGTATATAGAATCTGTTTATAGAATTTGTATAATCTCTTTTTTTATTTATTTTAATTTTTTCATTTCTTTTATTATTCTATTTAATTATTATTATTATTTTTTTTTTTGATAATATTAGTGGCCAAGCACAGAATTAAATGGTATATAGCCTCGTGTTGAAATCCAGCCAAAATTAGATTATAGGCCCTTATCAAACTCTTTTTATTATATAAATTGCGTTTTTGAAACCCTTTTAGACAAAGTTATGAAGTAGTCTATCCCATAATTTTTTTTCATTTGCAATTGGTTGCATCACAGAGCACCACAGAAGAGCATTTAACTTAAAAGTTTGCAAACCACAGATTAGTGAAGGATCTAGCATTTTTTGGTGTTTGAGATAATGCTGAGAGATCTCTCAGATTCATAAAAGTTTAAAATTTAAATTAACATATAAAGTTTAAAAAAAATACTTAAAGCAGCCGTGGCGCAGTGGTAGTGCACTTGCCTCAGAAACATAAGATCCGTGGTTCAAACCCTACCTCTGGGCAAGTTTTGCGACATCGGTAGGGAAGGAGGCGTGAACTTCCCATTAAATGCTCTTCCGCCGTGCTCTGTGATAAGACCGTAAGGACTTCTTGGAGCACCTTAATCAAATAAAAAAATAATAATTTCCTCCAATTTGAGGGGGTTACAAATTTTATATGGTTATAATTTTTATAAACGCTTCAAAATTGTAAAACAATACTTAAAATTTTTCGATGAATATAAATTTAGTTATGAATAGCAAAAAAATTATTTCATCACGTTGTTGCTCTCACATTTGAGGCAGGGGGGGATAAAATTTTAGAGCTTATTTGCTCCCGGCCTCCAATCATTGCCACTTTTTAAAAAGCATCATGATTTGACATGAGTATAAACATACGAATGCTTGGATTTTGTTTTATGTTGATGTTCAATCTGGAACACCAAATTCATATTAATGAAATATGTAAAATATAGTTTTTAAATGTACTTTTAAGGTTCAGAGTCTGCAGTTAGGAATCAAATCAAAATTCAAATTATTAAAATATCCTACCCTGTAACTATTATGATGGCAAGGCAAAATCTGCTACTCAGAGGCTCTTGTGAAAAAGTCTATCAAGATAATAAAGGGAAGTTTCTAAAAATTTTTAAACTTTTGGCTGAATTTGATCTAGTTATGGAAAAACATCTGTTGAGAAAAAAAAACAAATTCTGTGCACCATCTAACAAAAGATATTCAAAATGAAATCATTGACTTGATTAGCAAATCCATTAAATTTTAAACTAGCTCAAATCTTTGTGTATTTTTCAATTATTGTTAATTGTACGCCAGACATTAGTCACCAGGCGCAAATGTCAATGCTGGTTCGATATGTTGATGCAGAGGATAAGAACAAAATTCATTTTAATGAAAGTTTTCTTGGATATTACTTAATTGAAGGTTCGACAGGACTTGAAAAATCAAATGAGATATTTGACTCTTGCAAAAAATAATTTGTCAGTGGAAAACATAAGAGGTCAGAGCAGACAATCATGCAAATATGAAAGGCATAAAAAATGGTGTTTTATTCAACAGGCTTTTATTCTTCAAAAAAACAGCCAAACGGTTTATATTCACACATTAAATCTGGTAGTTATTGATTCTGTGAGATGTTCACCTTAAGTTGTTATGTTTTTTTTATATAATTGATCAAGTTTACAATTTTTATTTCTGCTTCAACAAAAAGATTTTGCAATCAAAGTTTCCATCTTTAACAGTTAAATAGTTAAGTGATACAAAATGGGAAAGAAAAAACTCTTCGATTTGAAATGCCAAAAATTTTGAAATTTGCAAAATTGCAAAAATTACAGCAGAGTCTATTGCTTTAAAATTAACATGCTCCGATTTTTTGTGTTCGATCATAATTTGGCATTAAGTTTTATTCAAAATTAATTTAAATAGCAATTAACTTCAATCAGCTTCAATTAATATTTTAAAGGCTTTAAAAGCAATGGAAAGAATGATTAATTTTTTTTTATAGAAATATACAAACAGGAAAAATTTGATTCTGTTGTGTGTATTGCTCAAGAACTTGCTTCTTTTTTAAAGGTAGAAGAAAGTTTTGCAGCAGAATCTGAGTCTATAGTAAGAAAAAAAAAGAAGTTCTTTGATGACCCGAACAAAACTTTGAAAAACAGTCCAAAAGGAAAGTATAAAAAAGATATTTTTAATAAAATATGAAATTTTTTTTTTTTTTTAATTATTTACCTCTACAAGGCCCGAGGGGGCCACTAAGTCGAGGAGGCTAATTATTATTATTATTATTATTTTTTTGTAAATCCTGTTACAACCCTCTCTCAACTCTTTAACTCCGAAACACGAACCTTGACAAGCAAGGCCGCTGCGCAGAAAAATTAAATTAAGAGCGGTACTTTCAGGGACGTCGTGGTAGTCAAACTCCGAACCTCTCGCTTACAAAGCGAGCACTCTTACCACTACACCACTACTGCATGTGCTATACCAAATGTGCTACTATTGCAATAGAAGATAGGTTTAATGGTTTTAATGCTAGAATTGCACCTTTTAGCTTTTTAGTTGATGTTAAAAAGCTCATAACAGTTAAGGAAGATGATCTGAAAATTAAAAAAAAATGATATTTTTGGCAAAGAAATAACCTTTGAATTAATGCTCTTAAAGTTTGGGTTCTGAAAAGGCAATAAAATATTTGCACACAAATGATTTGAATGAAATCTACGCAAATGTATCTATTTCATTGAAAATTCTTCTCACATTACCACTAACAGTAACTATAAAGGTGGTTGAAAATTATTTTTTTAACCACCTTTGGAATGTCCAGCACTGGGCCTGGTAAGGCTATTATGTACTTAATTATGTGTGCACATAAATGAGAGGCAAACTTAGCAAATAGTAACTTTGCTATGAATGTATATATGATTTCTATGAAAGTAAAAACGGATAATTAGGAAGAATCCAAAATGATGCAAAGTAGAGGACTTAGTAAGTGTTTTGTAAGATGATGACTCAGTAACAGTGTTGTCAGAGGACTTGGTAAGAGGTTTGTTATTCATCAGCATCAGAATATCCTCAATAATGCAATAAAAATTGGCAGAAAAAAATGACAGTTTTTAAATGAGTTGTTTTTATAAAAATGATTAATAAAATGATTATATTTAGAAATGGAAGATTCACAAGTAAAAATAAAACCTTCGACTCCTACCTGAATCCAAAAGATTGTTAAGGAGGCCCATTTTTCAGTATTAAGATGAAAAATATCTGCTGAAGTACCATTACAGAACACATAGTTGACTTAATGAGTCACATAGTTGACTTAATGAGTAGAAGATAAAAAAAAAACACAAAAGCAGTGACAACAGTTATTAAATTAAAAAAATACCCATAACATACCCTAACCCTAACCCTGATGACACCTGACAGCCAAATAAATTTTATAAAAATTTTTATGGCTGTCACAGTGGCCCTCAACAAATTCGAAATTAAAAAAAATGTCAACGGAAACTGTTTGCGGACACATTTTGAACTTTGTCCAAGAATTTTAATCAATTTTTACATTAGTAATCAATTTAATAAAATGTTTTCATACTGTCAACAGTGAAGTGCAAAACTTTGAATTTTTATATAAATTTTTATTTATCATCTTATTATTACTTCAGTTTTTCTGCGTATTTTTAAAGTTATTACTAACTTGCAATGAGCAATAGAACCACACCTCTGCATAGTTTAAATCTACTGTCATCGAATAGTTCAAATTTACTGTCATGGAATAGTTTAAATCCACTGTCTGTGAATAATTTAAGTCTACTGTCATCGACTAGTTTAAGTCTACTCTCATTGAATCGTTTAACTCTGCTGCTAAGTGTATTAGATTAAAAGCAGTATTGCATTATTTTAAAAAATATTTTTATATTAAATGTTGAAAAAAAAATTAATTTAAAATAGCAAATAAAAAAAAAAAAGTATTCTAATTTTAACTAAATTTTACAACAGCTCACACAAACTCTCCACATATGATTACTGATTATATTAGTTTAATATCGTAACTTCATTTTATGTCCATTAGATAATTTTATACTGAATAAAACTATCTATGGATTGATTCTTTTAGTTTACAATTTTGTGTTTTTATATGGTTACTATGTTATATGTTGATTGTTAAATCGATAATAATATATAAATAACAAAACAATAAATTTAATTCAAATTAAAAAATTTTGATTTAAGTTTTTATGGGGAATTTTCGCCGATGTAAAAAGAGTTAAATATTTATATTACTTGATAAAATTTATTATTTAAAATGAATTCATTAAAAAAATATTTTTTTCATTTAAATATACAAAATATTCTAACAAATATAAAACTTTATTTATTTCATGTGTTTTGCCTGATTTTTTTAACCTAGTAATGGGCATTTACTTATTTGTAAAATCTCTCAAATGTCATGGGGGAATGGCGATTTTATTTTATTTAAATGTTATTATAATGCACTAACTTTGTTTCGGTTAATGTAGAAATGTCATGCAACAGTTGTAAAAATGTTTTGTACGATTAAGTTGTTGGTTTTTTTGTTTTTTTTGAAAGCCGCGATCGTTTTGTGTAATTATTTTTTTTGTACGCTAGAGAATGTTTTTGTATTAAAAGTCAATTGTTGCAAAACTGTGAAACATTTCAACAACTGAAACCAAAGAACTTGAAGATTAAAAAATTCAAGTTTTCACTAAACATTATTTATTTTTTAACACCTAACTAAAATTACTTTTTAACACCTATGTAACACCTCTTCAAAGTAATAAAAGGTGGAGCTTAGAGACCAATAAATAACGTATTAATAATGATCAACTTCATTTATTAATACATTAATTAATACAAAGTTATTTTTTGACACACTAATTTTATATTAATTGTATTTATTGTTTGTATTTGTCTTTTTTTATACGTCCGTAATGTTCACTAAACACCCAATTACAGATAAAAATTCTGAATATCAGAAAAGCAACAATTAAAACAGTGTTTTATAATCGTTTCATTTGTCTTGTCGTTACGTTTATTTAATTTAGGTAAATATTTTTTTGATATTTGTTATATGCGAGTTATTTTTAGCACTATTTGTTTGTTAATAGGTATTAATAAAGTAACTTATAATAATTTACAAATTTTTTCTGTTATTATAAAGTTTTAACTTATAGTTGGGATATACCGAATTCCGGCCGAATATTTTTTTTTCAGATCAATTGTGTAGGATAATAATTTGTTCACACAGCCTGTGTGACATGTCGTAAAAAAAAAAGTTTAATTACAGCCAGAAGCAAGTGGATCTAAAAGAAAAAATATCAGGCCGGAATTCTGGTACATCTATCTAATAGTGACTTTTAAATTACATCAAAGACGTTAATGAATCTTTTTATTGTCTTTTAATTATTTTATTGAAGAAAAAATATTTTTTTTTTTATTCATTTGTTTAACCATAAAATCAAAAATTGCAAATTTAATTATAATTTAAAAAGTTAGGTAAGGTGTCACTCATATAGTTAAAAACTAGTCAATGGAGTGACATCTTAATAAAATTCACAAATAAAATAAAAAAATATTAAAACAAGGGAATAATAAAGTAAACTACATTAATACAAGTATTAAAAAAGGAAGTAATAGGAGCAATATTTAAAAAGTTGGAATCAGAACAAAAATGTAAAGGAGTAAGGCTAATAAAAATGAAAAAAAAAAGAGAGAGGGAATGAGTTAAGACGAGTAAGAAAAAAATGATAAAACAAAAAATTTAATTACATAATTTCAGAAAGATAAAGTGACAGAAAATTTTTTCTGTCACTTTAAAGCAAAATAAAGGCAAGCTTTAATACAAAATAAATATATACATACACTACTATTTACAATATTAAAGTCTGTATTACGCATTATATAGATTAGTTAAACAAAAATGTATATCAAGATATAGAAAAAGTAACAGCAACTAAATTCACAGAGAAAAATGCAAAGAAATAAATACATTCAACATTTTTTATATACATAAATACACAACATATAAACAATGTACAAAATTAAATAAAATTGTTCTCTTTAATTTCTTTCCATTAAATATTGGTGGTAGAAAAAATTTTATTTCTTTTTAATTATTATCCATATTCAATGACTTTTTACTTTTAACTTTGTTTTTATTTGTTTCGGTTTTTTTTCTTGTCTTTTTTTTGTTTTTTTCTTTTATCAAAATCTTGTATTCTTGTTTATACACTTATTTTTTAAACTTTTATTATCAAAATGTTTTTGGAGTTACTTTTTTTTTTTTACTTTTTTTTTAATTAATTTTTTTTTAAACTTTTTTTATTTTTCACTTTTTTTATAATTTTTTTTTAATCTTCAAAATGATTATTTTAAGTTATCCAATGAAAATGTCAAAATTATTAATGAACATTTTATCAAGCTTTAAATTTGACTTATAGTCCTTTTATAAAAATGCTATCAAAGAATTTATCTTGAAAAGTCACAAAAAAAATTTTTTTAACGGTTGCGTTAGTTACAATAAACTACGATATCTGCAATACGGTTGTTTCGAATTTCATTTGTTTTCTTCGAATTTGTCAAAGGATTTTTTGTGTTCGATGATCGAGTTTTTAAATATATAAAATCTCATTTTGTTACGACTGTTTTTAATTAACACTGGTAACAGAACCTCTTAAGCTTAAAAAAGTCGTAAGTATACTTCAATATAAATTTATTATTTGTTTTTATTTAAAAATTTATTTCTTGAAACTAAATTTGAATTGTTGCAAAACAATAACTTACGACGATTATATGGAGTTGTTGATAACAAGCTTATGTTTATTTTTTTATTAAGTAAATTATATTATAAAAATACATAATAAAAAAATAATACAGTGACATTCTAGAATGTCACTGTATTATTTAGATGAAGTAAAACTTAGATTTACAAATTCACAAAATAAAAATGAAGTCTGTTGAAAATACAATAATTACTTTCTAGAATCTAGAAAGTAAATTAAAACAAAGATTTTGAAGTGGCATTTGTCTTTTTTGTTGCTAAAAACCAACCAATTTTTCCTCTTTGATATTTTCAATGAACTCAGCTAAAGGTGTCATTTTACTTAATTTGAAGGGTTAAAAAGCGCGAATTGAAAACTTTAATGTTAAATTTTTATTCTTTAACATTAGCCAATCATAAAACGGCAAAGTTATCGTTTCCAACTTTACCGAGTTCATTTAGGAACTTCACCGAATTAGGGTTGCGCCGTGTACAGGTCCTCCGTAACTAAATTTAAGCTTTAATTTTCATAATTAGTTAATTATTTAAGAAATTGTATTTTGAAACTTAATTCAAATTGGTACAAAACAATTTTTTGTATAGGTATCAAGCGTATCATTATTTTTTAATATATAAATTTATTTTATAAAGATACAAGAATTAACAAAACGTTTAATACTCCGAAAGCGTCTGTTACTCTAGCTTAAAAGTACAGTGAAATATCAAATATTTGACGTAAAAAATATATTTATAAAATGATTCTGTGAAATAAAGATTTTAACGACTTCTATTATTTATTTTTTTAAATATTTCTAAAACAAAAAGTTTTCAATTTATTATTATGAACAAAAAAACATTTTTTTTAGTTAGAAATTAAGAGATTCGTTGTTTGTTTTTGTTATTTTTTAACATTAAATTGATTTAAAAATTTGTTAATTGATATTTGTTAATTAGCTTTCATTCTGCTATTTAGTATACTATTTTGAAAAATTTGTCTTGAAAAATTCTTAGTATTTTTGTTCACTCTAATTAAACGGAGATTTCATCACATAATATATTTTATAAATAAAGTATACAAATTATAGATTTTATTTTATATCATAAAACATCTAAATAGTGAGATGATTTTTTTTTTTTTTTTTTTTTTTGCATTTTAAATCAACGTTGAAATCGAATATTTAAACTCTCACTCTTTGAGTTTTTTATTCGCATAACTTATTTTAAAAAAGATAGTCGAAGGAGATTTTCGATTTTATATTTCTAAATTTAATTTATTTTAAGTCGATTCACTAACTTTAAAATCTAATTGAATAAAGTACGATTTCTTCATTTGTTATTAAAACAAGTGAACGATGTTGTTTTTGTGAATTTAAATCAATTTCTACGTTTGTTTGGAATGTATTTTTATTTATTTAAATTAATATGTTATATATTATTTTAATCATTTATATTTATATTAAAATGAAATTATTTTATTTTAAAAATGTGATAAAAATTATATTTAAAAAATTAAAATTTAAATATGTGAATGATAAATTATCATTATAATTAGAAATTGATATTGATTTATGTATTAATATGTAGAATATTATAATGTATATGATATTATAATTTCGATTATTATTTTAATTTTTATTTAATTGTTATTTTATATTTATTTTTTCTTTAGATCGTCTACTTAAATTATCTCGTCAAAGTTTTGAAGAAAATAAAGACAAATATCAACTTCAATTTTATTACGTTAATTTATTCATTGAATGTTTTTATGAAAGTCAATCATCATTAACTGATGAAATAAAATTATTCGTCGATGAACGAGAGTGGGAGATTTTGATTCACGATGGAAAAACTTCTTACGAAACTTCTTGTGAAAATTATTTCGTAAATCATTACATTAAATCTGGAAGAAAGTTATCGATGTTACGTGTTCGTAAAAATATTTTAAGTGATGATGAAAAAAATCTTATAATTAAATGTTCAACAAATGTTCGCGAAGTCGACTTTGTCCACTTTTATTGTCCAATTAAATTAGAAGGATTGAAACCGAAAGATAAGATTGAAACGTTGAGGATAAACATCTCACGTTATTTAATAACGAAAAAAGATTTTGAAGAAAATTTTCTTCCGTGGATTAATCTTTGTGAACAATTATATCTTTTACTTCACGACGACATCGATTTCATTGAAGAGATTTGTGAATGGATTCGTTGTTTGAATCTCAAGTGGTTGAGGATCAAGTACCGTGGATTATATTTTGAAAACCTCGATGAATTAAAAAACTTTATAACACAGTATGTTTAATATCTTAAATAAAATATAAACAATAATTAAAAAACTTTATAACACTTAAAAGTTTTATATCTTAAATAAAATATTAACAATAATTATAAAATAATAAATGAAATATTTAATATATTATTTTATAATTATGTTTTATAATATACGAATTAATTTTAATATTTTAGTTTTATATTTTTGATATTATTTTAATTTGTTTAATATTATTTAATAATAATTTTTGTTTAAAACAATTTAATATATTTGTTTTAAAATATTAGTAATAATAATATAAATTATTAATTATTTTATATTTTATATACTATTATTATTATTAAATATATATTTTTTTATTATATGTATTATTTTTGCTACATAATTATTTAAAAAATTATTCTAAAAAAAATTTTTTTAATTTTTCAACAACTTCTAAAACGAATGTTTAAAATTTAAGTTAAAGTTTCTTATTTAATTAACTTTAATAATAATTTTTATTAAAGTATAAAATATATAGTTATAAATAAATAAAAACTAGAATTGATGAATAGAAAAAATGAATAAAAAATAGAAATTGAGTTAATAGTAATGTTATGTGGAAATCTTTTGTTTAATATTTTATATATTTAAAATTTTTGTTGCATATGTTTAATATATATTTTTTAAACAAAATATTAAATATATTTTATAATATTGTAAAAGTTATTTTAATTTTTTATTTACTAAATATATTATCCTCATGACAATTATTTTTAAATTTTAAAGTTTCCGCCATTGGTTTCTTCACACGATTTTTGTTGTCAAAATAAAAAAATTCGAAAGTTTTGTAGAATTTTTCTTCGAATTTTGTTCGGAAGTAAAAGTTTAATTTATTTAGATTTAATTAAAAATAATTAAATTTAAATAAATTTAATAAACTAACTTAACTAAACTAAAGAAAAAGTTTGCAATCAGCAAGCTATAGCTTTAGGGCTGTTCACTCTGCATGGTTAGATACGAATTTTTAAATTCATTTTACAACAGACCAATAACTCATTCTATACATTTTTTTTTGTCTTTAGTTATTATATTTTCAAAAAACTTAATTAAGATCGAGGGTTATGATCAACTTAGGATGATGACATTGGGCTATAATAAAGTGGCCATTGTTAATGACTACGTTAGAATCAAAGCTATAAGCTTAAATTAAAAATAAGAAGGTCAAAAAATATAAATTAATAGATAGTTAACCGTCATATTATTACAAAATTTTTCCAAAAAAAAAAAAACTTTCTCCGTTTAATTTTTAAACTTTTATTAAAATTTTATTAAATTCGAAAAAAACCCGCATAATACTTGGCAGATGTTTTTAAAATTTCCAAGATTTCTGGATAACATTTAGATTTTGCATCAAATATTACTTTGACTGAAGGGTATATCTCTGCATTCTGTTTTAGTGAAGAGTTTCTAAGAATTGGTTATTGTGAATCACTGAGTTCACAATTAATTTTTAATGCAAGGGCCATTTCTGCTTTTATCATTATTGAATTCCTATTTTTATTTTCAATAATTTTCCTGGCTAAAGCTGCATTTTTGACAGAATGTTTAATAACTTGTGAAAAGTCTGCTTTTCCTGGGCTTGATTTAACCCTTAACTTAATATTTCAAGCTTTTTACTTTTGAAACAGAAAAAAAGAATGCCTAAATAAAAAGTTCGCAAATTTTAGCGAACTTTTTTTATCTTTACCGCAAAATTTTTTTTACCTGTAATTTGGGTGTTAAAAAGAATAAATAAATAAAAAAAATATTTTTTTCTTATCATTTGATATTTTTTCTAATAAGTTGTACAACGAAATTGATGCGAATTGTGTATTCAAAAAAATCCACTTATACCCACTTTTTCAGCTTATCGCTTTATTGTGCAACTAAATAAATACCACCTATAATTTATTATGTATTTAAGCTATTTAACAGCAATATTTTTATTAACAACGAGGTCTTACGTTATGACTAAAAGTAATCAAACGAGAACCTGTAGCGAAAACAAAATTTGTGTAGCAAAGATAAAAATTCTGTTAAATATATACTTTCCGTATATGAAACTTTTTTCAATAAAATGAATAGCACTCATTAAATAAAAACGATAACTTTTTAACGATAATTTCTAAATTAAATAGCACCGTTTGTTGGTTTGCATATATTTTCTCTTTATTTAGTCTACAATGAAAATTGCGATATTTGTTTATGTTTATGAAAAATATAGAAATGTGTTTATTGCTGTTCTATAAGTTAGGGGTCGTCCATAAAGTACGTACGCCAAAAATTCTGAAATTTGACACCCCCTCCCCCCTGTTCATATACCCCCCCCCCCCTCAATTTTTTTTTTCAAGTTAAAAAATTTATTGAAAGAAAAAAGGTGGAGAAGGTACACTAGATACTTTAAAAGTAATAATAAGATACTTTAGAAGTATCTAGGGTAATCCTCCACCTTTTTTATTTCAATTAATTTTCGCAGTTCGCGGTTTGCAGTTAGCATTTTACCTAGTACAGTAGGCAGTGACGGCGGAGATCCGAGTTTGATTCTCGGTAAGGTTTTTTTTATTTTTTTGTTTAATGAAACGCATCAAATAAAAATAAACTATACTTATAGCAGACGTTTTTTTTAGGCACACCTCTTTAGTAAGTCCTTAAAAAGCGAGTCTTACGCGAGAAGAGTAATATTAAAAACAAAGTTTAAAACCCACTGCCGAGTGTAGGTTACCCATACCGCGTAATTAGAGAGGATGGGGGGTTGTGCGGTAGCAGCAAATTTTGTACCCTTTTGCTACTTTAAAGAGCTTTTTATTTTAGCAAAACTTAGCAATAAAATTTGGAAGATTTTGACACATTTTTTTTAAGGGGGGAGGGGGGAGGATATTAAAGATAGGGCACTTTTACACATTGTGCAAACTCCAAATTTAAGTTTGTTTATACCTATGCCAAATGAGGAGACCTTATAAAAAATTGGAACGGTTGAAACGTTAGGGCACTTATGTAGTAAAATATTTAACTTAACGATCTAAAACTAAATTCAAATTTATCGACAGAATTTAAATTTCGTTGAAAAATATTGCTAATTACAAAAGTTATGTCGATGCAAAACGTACAACCCCTCATTTATTTATTTTTGTTGGGGAAGGGGATCGGAAATTTTTACTATATTAGTGCCATCACCTTTGGAAAGGAAAGGAGATGCAAGCAATTGAGGGCTTTTTTGTTCCCAGGCTATCACCATAACAACTTTTTGCAAGACCTCTTCAAATGGTATAGGTTTAAACATACTTAAGTTTGAAGTTCGCACAAGATGTGGAAGTGGTTTATCTGGAATATCAAAAAATCTTGCGGGCGCCCATGCATGTGTAAGCATAGAGAGAAACTATACCTTCTACTTCCTATAAAATATATCTTTTTATGCTGGCAAACTAGGATCTTTAGTCAGAATTTTAACTTATCTATTGACTAGCTGGTTAGTTGTGTAAAATTAGAAAATCGAAGTACGTACTTTTAAATTTTATCATTGAAGTCAAACGTTTTAAAAATTTATAAATTTCCCAGAGATAAAAAAGAATAAAACACGTTGGATAGAATGTTTAGGGGAGAACGGGGTGAAATGGGACATGGGGTGAGATGGGGCATGGCGATTTCTCAGCAAAAAAATTGTTAATCCAGTTTTTTAAATATATGTGATAAGATTACAAAAAGTACTTCATATTATTGTGTTTTTTGAGTTTCAAAAGTATTTTATAATTCAAATTATTTTCGAATATGTTAAAATCTAACAAGTTTCTTGGATTTTGAAGACGTCATTAACAATAAATATTTATGTTATGTTTCCATATAATTTTATGTTTATGGTCTTTAATTAATTATTATTGTCTTATTTAATTACTGAAAAAATATAATTAGCAAATGGTTAAAAGAAATAATATAAAATAAATGTTTTCTCACACCTACTAGCAATGGGGTGACTTGGGGCAGAAGACTTGGAGTGAAATGGGACACTGTTCAATTTTATCAGTTGTTTAATTTGTTATATCTTAATTTTTTCAATAAATTCTTTTTGTAAAAAATTAAATTAGCAGAAAATTATGCAGGATTTTTTGATGTTCCGGATAAACCACTTCCACACATTGTGCAAACTCCAAATAAATAATTAGAAATTATGGAAATCTTGCCATAACTTGCCAAGTTATGGCAAGATTTCCATATTTACTTTATGTTAATATGTTTTTTATCTTAGAAAAAAAATAGTTCTATAGAATTTCTTTGAAACTTTATCCTGGTTGTTAAAGACGTTTTTCACAGTAAGTATTGTTTTATAAAGAATATTTTTTAGCACTGTATTTATAATTCAGTTTAAATAAAGGATTTTATTATTACCCTTTTTAAATTTAATCTCATTACAAGTTTTTAGGGTTATGGTACTAATTTATTTTCATTAATAATATTAATTTTGGTTCATGCAATTTTAAAAAAGTATAGTTTTTGAATAATAGAGTGAGTAATGTGTGTAATATTTTTCAGATGCCAAGAAAGTACAAACGAGTGACAAACGAGTGAATTGGTTAAAGCCTGATGCTCATACAATAAAAGCCGCTGTGATGGCTGTTGGATCTGCCAGTTTATCACTACGAGCAGCTGCACTGGAATATGAAATTTCAAAATCAAGTTTACAGCGGAAAATAAAGGGTAATAAAGAAACTTCTTACAATGACTTATACTTTGATAAACAATTTGACGAATCGGTTAAAGCCTGAAGCTCATACAATAAAAGCCGCTGTGATGGCTGTTTTTTTTTTTTTTTTAAATTTACAACACAAGTATTCGTATAGGGAAGATGGGGGCACATTGATCGCCGTTGCAGTATTTTGAAAACTGCAAACAACCCGATCTAGATATAAAAACTTATTAATTACTAAACGAAACTAGAACAATCTTTCTTAAAGTAAAAATAAATTTTTTAATAAAAAACATTAATGAACGTTGTATATTTCAACATTACAACAACCCTTGCAAAAGATCAATATATATATATATATATATATATATATATATATATATATATATATATATATATATATATATATATATATATATATATATATATATAGGAAACCGTTTTCTAGCCCTTATCATTGTATATGTAATATCATTGCAACCTAATACACACCAGTATATAAAGTTTTCATAAGAAGAATGACCACAATTCTATCTATGAAAATAAGCCCGTTATATACTACTAACATATATATGTGTTAAGTTTTACAAAACTTGAAGCTTATAAAGTCTATAAGAATACAGTACTTTAAGTTTACAAAGAAAATACAAGATTCATACAAGACTTTTATTAGAACTAAAGTTTACAAGATTATTTTTTTAAATTATCACCATTTGTCAAAGTCAAATCGTGATGCAGCTTTTACATTTCATTGTTTTTTGTTCCTAAGCAAGTAGTTTTTAACTTTTCCCTTTTTTTTTATCTTTTGCGATGAGTTTCTTTTGTTGGTTGATTTGTTTTAGGGTTTTCTTTTCTTCTGACAAACGAATTTCATTTCTGATTGGAGTATCTGTCAAAATCCTTGTTTTTAATTGCCTAGTTTTAACACTTCTTTTTATAGCAGATGCTTTCAGGTAAGGTTTCAAAACTTCAGGTGAGAGTAATGAAGCAATGCTTGGTGACACTTTGTTCAAAAAACTTGTTTTATGATGTACTACATGCATTTCAGGCTCCATGCCATCAACATGTGCTACAGTCATTTCAGGTTCAACAAGATTTGTGTTTACTACATCTGGAGCAGCACGATCTGTAACTGATAATGGTATATATTCATCATCTTTAAAAATTTCTGGAATAAATGGCTCAATGCCAGCTACTTGAAATCCTCTCTGTATATTAGATGGTGAGAAAGCTTTTGTATATGGTTCGCGAACTATTAAAACAATATCATAAATGGTCATAATTCTTGGATTTGTGACCATCCAATTATCACAGGCAGCATTGTAAAGCCTTTTAAATGGTTCAAAAACAGTTCTATCCAATGGTTGCAATTTATGGGTACAATGGGGAGGAAAACTTAGCATTGTAATTCCATGTTGGATTGCAAGATCCAAAGCTCTAACAGAAATATGACTTTTATGGCTGTCCAGAAGTAACAAAGCTAGAGATTCACGAGACCAGTTTGAATACCTCACAAAATGTTTTATCCATTCTATAAAGATGTCTGAATTCATCCAACCAGAAGGATTTGCAAATCCCACGCATCCAGGAGGACCTTCCTTTATTATGTAATCATGAAATTTGACCCTAGGAAAAACAAATAGTGGAGGAATAGAGCAGTGGCGGATTGAGGTTTAGTCTCGCGGAAGGGCCAAGTCAATAAATAGGGGCGACCGGGGTTGCCTTCAGTAATTTGATCTTATATATATATATATGAATATATATATATATATATATATATATATATATATATATATATATATATATATATATATATATATACATATATTGATTAATTTAGGGGGCGCCGTTAGACCGTTCTAGGGAGGCGTGGGGGGCAGCTTGCCCCCCACCGCCCTATACTAAATCCGCCACTGGAATAGAGTTTCCAATTGCATTTGAAGAACAACATACAGTTACTAATGTTCCTCGTTCTGCAGATGTGATTCTTCCTACTTGTTTACTTCCTTTACCTGCTAACACTTTTACTGGCTTTTGTACTGTTGTTAAACCAGTTTCATCAACATCATATGTGCAATAAGGATCAAACTTATATCGATTTCTAACTGTTTTTAGATTTTGGAAAAATTCTCCAACAGTGTGTCGGTTAAAGGCAGTTGATTGAGCAAAGCTAGTTGCTTCAAGTGTTCGTAAAGACAACTCTGGTTGTCTTTTTATAAAACCTTGCAACCAATCAATCCCTGCAATTTTATTCTTGATCCATGATGAAAAGCAAATCTTATTATTTTTTATAGCAAATTCGTATGCCAATAATCGTGTTGACTTAGTTGAAAGTCCATAGTTCATTTTTGATGCAAGTAGTAAATAACTTGACAAACTTTTTTCATCTTCTGCAGTAAAAACTTGTTTATTGTTGTAATTAGGCTTAAAAGATTCATTTGGGTTGAGCTTCTTTTTATTACAATATCTTTTTAAGATAATTCGATTTATGCTAAACTTGCGAGCTACAACATTCACTGGTCTGCCCTCTAAAACTTCTTTAACAGCTGATTTCATTGTATCACATGATATAGCAACTCTGTCTGGTTTTTTTTTTTTTTTTTCTAACCATTTAAAGATCTAAAAATTTAAAAAAAAGTAAAATAAAATGAATGTTTAAAAAAAAACTTTTATATAATAATATTATGTAAACTAATTGTATAACTTATGTAAAACTAAAAAATAATGTTATTAATATTAGCTTTTAACACTATTACATTTTAAAAATAAAATTTTAAATATTTTTTATTCGTCATAAGTTTAAATGTATAAAACTTAAACAAAAAATTTAAGTCTTATAATATAAGTTATATGGGGCACTTTGATCCTCCGATCAATGAGCCCCGCATAGTCAACGATCACTGTGCCCCATTAGGTACAGTTGATATATTGATGCCAATAACTTCTATAAATATAGTAACCAACTCAAAAAAAAAAATTTATTATTAACTTAACACATATTAGTTTACAATAAATTGGTTATAAAGTCATACGGAAATCTAATTAAAAACTTATTTGAATTTGTTTACAACTTTCAAAAATCACTTTTCATGATGAAAAACAGTCTTTTCAATTTTCTTAACGCTGAAGTTGATCTTATCAAAAATTATTACGATTAAGTAATGAAGAGTAGTATAATGGTTAATTAAATTGCAATCTCTGTTAAATTAAGAAAAAAGTAAACGAGTAAAAGCTAAAAGATCATACTGCCCCGGCGATCAATGCGCCCCCATCTCCTCTATATTTCAATAAAACAAAATTACATATTTTTACATATAAGTACAAAACGTATAATTAAACAATTTTTGTGCCATTAAAATTTTTACAAGACGAAATTCAAAATTCTGTTCAGCGCATGCGCGTTGTACAATGTTTAAAATAAGGTAACTATTCGTTGTTTATAATATGAAGTGCTGGCTATTAACTCATGCACTTAAAAAATATATGCAAGTCCGTCGTACCACAGGGCTACTAGGGACTTGCTTGTGGACGTTGTTGAATATATATATATAAAATTATTCTCAAAAAATATTTTTCTTTGTTGTAAGGAAACTCGCAGAAGACTAAAATAGTTTTTTCATCGAGAACCTTTAAAACATAAAATAAACTTTAATGAATTAGTTCAACAAATACACATATGTATTTTGGTATCTACTATATAGTAGAAGTAGTAGGGCTTTTTATTTATTACTATTTTTCCTAAACTGTTTAACACAGTTCGATGAAGTTGGTTAAGTTAATTATGATATGTTTTAGTTTTTTTTCCAGAGCAATAAGGTTATCTATTTTATTAAGTTCCATATTTTAAAGTATTATTTTGTTATATAAGTATGGGTCGCGGTATATTAAAGAAAATCGCGAGAATTTTGTTTTTTTTCAAAGGCAAGGTGAAGTTGCCTTGTCCTCGTGTGATATATTTGTTTGCGTTGATATGAAAAAAGCTATCAGTAAAGTATTTCGGAACAAGTCCGAGTTTGTATTTTAGTATGAATAAGATATTTTAGTAAATATTTATTTGATAGATATTTAATGCATTCAAATTTTTAAGTAAAGGGTCGGCATGAGTATATTTATCTTTATTATAAATTAATCTTGATGCATGTTTCTGATGTATGTAGAGTGAATTTAATTTAGTTTTATGGGTACTTCCCCATGCAATATTAGCGTATGTTAGGTAACTTTGAATATAAAAAAAGAAGAGAGTTTTTAAGTTGTCTTGGGAAAGCATAGGTTTGGCTTTGTAGAGTACGCCGATACTTTTTGATATTTTTGTGTTTATTGCTGTTGAATCTGGCAGTTTATCACTACGAGCAGCTGCACTGGAATATAAAATTTCGAAATCAAGTTTACAGCGGAAAATAAAGGTTAATAAAGAAACTTCTTACAATGACTTATACTTTGATGAACAACATAAATATATTTTTAATAAGGCGGAAGAAGATGAACTTTCAACTTATCTTCGTCAAGCATCTGATATGCATTTTAGACTTAATGTTAGAGAAACAAAGCAACTTCCATATCAATATGCAATTAATAACGAAATTAAAATACCAGAAAACTGGAAAAAGAGTGATACAGCTGGAACTGAATGGTTTTATTTATTCTTAAATCATACAAAATTATCTATTTGTATGCAAGAGGCTACCAGCCTTAGTAGAACAACTAGTTTCAATCGCACCAATGTAGATACTTTCTTCAAAAACCTTGACAGGGTACAGAAGCGCTATAAATTTTCTGCTGATTGCATTTACAGTATTGATGGAACAGCTCTTATAACTGGTCATAAGCCAGTGGTTGCGGGTAAAGAAGTAACGCAAGTAGGACAGGTAACTTCTGCTGAAAAGGGAATCCTAGTTACAATGGTAGGTTGTATAAATGCACTCGGAAATACTATTCCACCGTTTTTGATATTTCCCCGTACCCACTTTCGTAGCCACATGCTTAAAGGTGCACCAACAGGTACCAAAGGTGATGCTAATCTTAGTGGATGGATAAATACAGAAATATTTTTGAAATGGTTTGATCATTTTGTGCAGTAAG